ACATTTATTTTCTTCTAAATTTTTATCCATCAATAGATACTGTACTTTTTAGATTAGAATGCTTATTTGAAGGTATGTTATTAAAAAGTTAGTTTGTACAGATTATTACATAATTTTCTTCTTGCCAATTTAGTTGTTTTTACTTTATTTTACACTTGCTTTGCTGCCATTTTAAACAGAGCCTAAGACAATAGCTTAAGAATTAGTGCCATCATAGGATCAGGATATGGTTCATAAAACAAAGCACATCTCCATTACTAATTAAAATTTTGTTGTGTTGTTGTTTCGAATGCCACTTGCCAATATCAGCAAGCCTGCTTGGTGAAACCAAGCGACCCGTTTATAGGACGGACCCATGCATCCATTTATTCATTCACAGATCGTAATTTTGAACTGAGCCGTAGGACTTTGTGATCCTCGCGACCAGGCTTATCATTTAAAATTTTGGAAAACAATATAATCTTTAAATTTTAATGCTTTTTCTTTTTAGAAAAATTACCTAAGTTGCTATTAACACTTATCTAATTATATTATTTTAGCCTACAATTAACCGTCTTATAGTACAGAAGGCATATGGAAATAAGTTGTCATCTGGAACTAATTTATTCAACACACACCCAGCCATAATTAAGTACCTAGCCCCATTTTTTAGGGCTCTATCTTTTAACAGCTTTGGTAGGAATGCCATATAATTTTGACCCTGGTCAGATGACGTGTGCAGCACTTGAGCTGGTACCCCTCTCTCCAAACTTCTACCTTCCATACCAAACCAATAAGAGAACTTTCAGCTACATCAGATTTAACATGCACCTTGCTGTGTGCACACAGCAGTTGCTTAGTCGGCTGCCGAGGCTGAACTCACAGCTGCTCTCTACCTCTGCAGTGGTGTGAGCCATACCTTAACCAGCGATGCCACCAGAGCCCCTGAGTATATCCTACCAGTGGCGTAGTTTTAACCCCTTGCCAGTGTCGTCCGAATCCAGTTCGGGCAACTACTATGTGCGTTATTTGTGATGCCCGAACTAACTTCGGGCAGGAGAAAAATTAACGTTTCTATTTTGTGAGGCCTGAGCTGAGTTCGTTTCTACTTTAGGATACTTAATTCACTATTTTTCTAATAGATGGCATGAGTGGTCCTAGTTTTTCACTGATTACGACTTCAGTCGAGAGATGGAGATGTGGGTGGGGTTTTTGGGATTCACCATACTGTAAAAGATTTGTAGAACTTCTGTATTGAAAATCATATTATTGTGTTTTTGTATTATATTATACTATTATATTTAAACTTCAAAATTTGTTTAATTTGCTCGAATTGAATAAGACGTGTGTGTAATCCTTTACTTTTTTATATGTATGTAAAAATTATAAGTACAGTAGTTATTGCATTTAAAATTTTATTTTTGTAATAAAAAACCATTTTCTAACTTTTATTATAATGTAAAGAACAAAATTAAACAGTCAAATTTTTTTTTTCATTTTTGGTCCATTTTTCTGAAATATATGTCACTGTTAAGGGGTTAATTTGTATGTGGGGGGTTATATCCTGCCATTTATAAATGTATAAGTCTATATATATGGTATACAGTATACATTCTAAATGTTAAAATTACAAAAAATGAGCAATGGCTACTTTTTTCTTTTTTATATCTACATCCTACTTACCATACAATAGCTTCTTAATCAAGTAATATATTTCGAACGATGTAGTAATTATGTTTCGAAGTAATTACATTTCAAAGGGGGTTTTGTCTCCCAAACTCAGCCCAAAACTACGCCACTGTATCCTACATATTAAAAAGGAGCAAAACCTTTAACTTAACCACCTATCTATCTTGTATGATAATCTCTGAAAGAAGTTAAAATTTCCAAGTAGTGTTATTCTAAACCCTTCTCAAGTTTGTTGAGAGCAAAAACTTCATGAAATTTTTTTTATGCTATATTTGAATTTCACTGAATTAATGAAATAACTAAAAACTAACTCAGTGGCGCGACATATTGAATTTAAAACAAAAAACTGAGGTTCAAGAATCGAAAAAATTGGAAATTTTTTAGTGTTTACTAGACATTTTTACATTACAAAAAACATCATTCCAAGAATAAGCTAACTTTCTATAATTACAGTCTATCAAGGCATGACAACTAGATTCAAATAAAAATTTAGTGCCTTCAAATAGTCACCTAATGCACTCATACAAAAATGTCTATAGTCACAAATATGACACTAAAATGGCAGTTGTCCGCTAATATGAATAAGCAAATGACGCTGAAGGGATCGACTTTCCGCATAACACTTGTCACATTTGTCACACTTATATTTTTTTATACCAGCATGACTTAGCATATGTCTCTGATAATTCTGTTTATATAGAGATCTGTCTACCATTGAGGATATTTTACATCAGCACTGTGGTCGGTGCGAGCCTGGTGCAGAATTCAAATCGACCAGCCATCATTAGGATTCAAACCCGGTTCGCCTCATTAGAAGGGGAATGTTCCATTCCCTGAACCACCAAGGCTCAGGTGCTCAGTTGTGTTTTGTTAAGTCATTACAGAAGACGGAATTTTTTTTTTTCTAAACTTGTCCTTCACCTTATTTATCATTTGTTGAGGACATATTGTTTTAAAATGTAAAGAAATACATTATCATGGTTATTTTGGCTCTAATTTAATTTTATTACAGTTGCTCTTCATTATTTTGGTGCCTTTTTTTTATTAGACGTTGTCATATGCTGTACTACTCTATTTTTTATGTGGTCTAAATAAATAAATACATTAGCCTGAAAATGTTCTATTTCTTTGAAATCTAGGGAAAGCTGTCACGGTTTTTCAGAATTTTTTATGAAGTTAGTTATGTTTTAGTGATTTTGTTTTCTATGATAAAAGTACAGTAGAGAACCGACTATCCGGACGATCGGGACTATCGCTATTCCGGATAACTGATTTTTCCGGTTTTCTGAATCGCTACAAAAAGCCGTTTTTTTAGTGTTAAACCCTGGANAAAAAAAAATATTTGGAAATAATCTTAAAAATAAGAAAAAACGATGAGGTAATACACTAATAATTATTTCTGAAATGATGGTAAGGTAAACATCTTTCAAAAAAGAAAGAAAAATCCTAAAATCTTATGAAGAAATTTTTTTTTTTTTAAATATTGCTGTAAAAATTTATCGAATTTCGTTCCGGTTTTCTGATTTCCGGATAACAGGTTCTGTACTGTACTATATAGAAATTAAAACTTGTGTGAAAAGTTATCAAATACCTTAAAATATGCTGGCAAATTTGCATCATTGTTGTTTCTGTATTTTTCTCCCATTGAGTCCTGTTTAAAAAAGTTTTATTTTTTGAAGGAAATAATGGATATTAGTTATTATTTATAGAACTTATTAGTTACAGTATTATAGTGTAATTACTAATACTTATATACACGATCTGAAATTCTCATGTTGTGGTGAAATGCGTTGGGATAACTTTGGATAACCGAACGACAAGACTAAGTTAATGATTTTATCTTGAATTGAGAGCATAAAAATAGATTGCTCTAGAATGTCACAATACCGTATTGAATTATCAAAATTTTAAATACCACGCAGAAATTCGTGGATTATTGCTTTAAATCAAGAATAAGCTGAAAACCAAGTGGATTTATGATGGAATCATTAAAATTTTTTGAAAAATAATTTTGGGCTTGTAACTTTGATATCTTGATTGATATAAGTAAAATATCTAAATTCAGATATTTTTCACAAGCAGTTAAAATGTTTGAGGATTTTTTTCCCTTTGATCAGACTTTATTATAATATCAATAATTTTTCTTGTAATACTTTGATATTTAATGAAATCGAAAATTGGTTTCCCTTGTTTGATAACTATTATTAATTATACTGTTTTTTTTAAGTAGTTAGAGTTTTAACCCCTTAACACGATCGATTAATTTTTAAGAAAACGGTCATAAAAGTGCCTATTTTGCCAAGTACGCGTATTTGATTAGTGCTGACATCTAGTTTAAAATAAACTAACTATCTACAATTACCTTAAAAATATCCTGGTACAGCCATCTGGTGTGTAAAATGAGAAACAAAATGTTTTCCAGCCAAAAGAAATGAATTAGTTTTGTTCTTATTGGCACGTTACTACTGAACACTCCAGCCCGAAATATTCACAGGAGCGAGAAATAGAGGGTGAAACCTCACCCCGTCATTTTCACGGGAGCGAGAAGGAAGGGGTTAAATAAATTTCAAAATGGGCTGTGATGGTCTCACTTTTTTGTTATTCTATTCAAAAATTTTACTCCTAATAATAATTATTTAAAAATTTATATTTAAATGCAGTAAGTTTTTGCAAACATTTCTTTGCTTAATTAAAATGGTTTGTCTGTCTATTTTGTAGGTATTGGACCATCTACCCCAGTTGAAGGAGAAACCACCTCACATAAATGTGCCCATTGTACATATGTATCTGCTTCTGAATCTAACTTGACACTCCACGTGGTGCGAGTTCACGCGGGTGTTCGCCCTTACGTCTGTGATGTGTGCGGGGAATCTTTCTCTACAAATCTGTACTTGAAAGCACATTATTTGTTACATACTGCATTCCGTTGTAAAGTTTGTCAGAAAAGATTGCGCACCTAACACAGTTATAACAATCATTTGTTATCTCAGCATCAAATACAGAATGTACTCACCCTATAAATTATCAGTTAATTTTTTCTTTCTACTAATACAGATAGAACTAAGCTGAAATAAATAGTTAAGGTTTGTATAAAAATTATTATTATAAAAAATATATTATAATTACTTTCAGCATTTGAATGCTTATAACTTTATATATACTCTGGAATATCCATTCAGCTGAGAAGTGGAAAAATTAAGATCCAAGCACAGATATAACAATAATTTGTTATCTGAACATCAAATTCAGAATGTTTTAACCTTATAAACTACCATTTAATTTTTTCTTTGAACAAATAAAGAAAAAACTAATGCGGAATCAATAAGTTTGCTTTCTAATTAGTATTGGAAATAAATAATAGTTGTGTGCAACATTTAAAGTTATATTGTTTGATATGTACTGGAGGGTATACATTCCACTGTGAAGTGTACCAGAAATGATCACAAACACAGTAATCATTTGTTATCTCAACATTAAATAGAGTATACTGCCGTTAAAAACTACCATTAATTTTTCTTTGTACAAATCATCTGAAAAATATGACAACATGCATGCCACCAATGTATTTTCTTTTGTATGTAGGATTTTTAGAGTTTTCATTAAGTGATAAGTTCATACTTTCATTAAAGTCAATTGTTTATTTAATCAAAAACTTTGAACATGATACCAAAATATTAAGTGCAACAGAAATTGTAATAGTAATACTCATGCTGTTAAATTTGGAGAATAAATTAGTTAATAATTAAAAATTTCTGTCTATGAGAAAAATTATTCTTTTTAGAAAACTCTATTTCAAGAAACACTCATTTTGTCTGTATTTGCACCTCTGTAAACGGTTACTGTACATTTCTTACTTCTCTAGCTTTTAGCTTGTTTCGAATGTGTGAATATTCTCAAATTATGAAAAAATTAGTAAACTGTTTTAGTTAAATAATTGTTTTTTTTTTTTTTAAAATTTCAAAGTTTTTTTTTCCATTTTTATTGAATGAAGCCTGATTTGAAAGTGTACTTCTAGGGTCAGAAATTAAGCAATTGTACTTTTTTAGGTTTTGTTAATGACCAAAAATATTTCTAGTGTTTCATAATATAAAAATGAGTTTTTTCTATTGGTTTTATCATTTGAGCTTTTTTTTTTGTTTGTAGTCATAAATGCCCAAATCATTAAAGATGTAAGCATAAGAATTATGTAAAAAAAGAAGAAAAGAAAACTGTATTTTTAGAAGTTTCAGAGTTTTGTTCCTTAAACAATGCCTGTTGCAAAGTTTGAAAGACTACTTCTATGGATTGGAGTGGATTTGTTTGCTTTAGTTAATGACTGGAGAACCATTCAAACTTAACTTAGTGATGCCATTCCTCGTTTTGAATTCCGTCATAGGAATTGTAATGGCTGGTGTACTTGTGACTTCTTATGTTTTTCTATTGATTGCTTTTGTGAAACATCTTACATATTATTGCTAATAAATTTATGAAATAGTTGGAGAAATTCTATAATTTTATGCTGATTTTAAGTAATACTTTTCTGTAAGTTTAAGGTTACAGAGAACATTTATTTATTTAATTTTTTAGTGATTTGGTTTGATATTGGGAAGAATAATAGAGAGCAAGAAAAGATTTTTAACTTTTTCGCAAAACAAATGAAGATTTTGTTTTTTAATTAATACTTAATTTAATTGTTTCTTTAAAGAAAAAAATTCTTGATGACTTTCATATTGTTTTAAATTTGGAACTATTATGCGAGTACTTTAGGGTTAGCTAGGTGCTAAT